AGATCTCCTCCCATTACTCACGAAAGAATCAGTCTTTTCCCAGCAAAGATCTGATGAAACGCGTTGAACCTCTTCCAGGCGATTGAGTAAAAGAGTCCAGGGACGTACCGCTTTCGGAGCGATCACGTCGGGGTCACCACTTGTAGTGATCCGGTTCCCATGAAATACAAGACACAGGGTTGTCTGCAAGAGTGAGAACCTCGAGTAGATTCGTAAGCTCTCTTTTATTGAAATTTTACACATAGACCTCATTGTCTTTCCATCTCAAGGAGGAAATAACAAACCTTCTGGTTAGCGATTTGCTAGACACAGACACAGATAACATTTATTTGTACTTCGTACGTGTTCCAACTGCCAGGGCAGTCTGCACGTATACATACAATACACATAGTCAAAACACTAATTAAACATGAGGTAGCTTTGGTTAATCTCCACATGTGGGGCCTGGAGAAAGAGCCAGGATTTCAGAACTTTTTGAAACATGGTCAGGTTTTTTGGGGAAGGAGGGATCAGACCTAACTTGTTAAAAATAACATTTATGATTTCAGAGAATCACCCTATTGCAACATTTACGATTCCCTGATTGCTAAGTCCTAAAATTTGTTTGGTTCTAGCTTGGTGAGTTGTCAGACCCCAAAGATTCTGGCTTATAAATTATAACAATATAACAATATATGTAAAAGGGGAGGATGGCTAACAGCCTGTTAATACACCATATTTACTACCACCTTCTGCTCATATGTGTAGGCTTTGGCATCTGTGATCTTTTCTAGTAGACTTTCCTATCAGTTTGTAAGGGTCTAGGTCAGCTCGTTGCAGCCAACTGGGCACAGCTAATTCGCTGTAGCCAATTCACTGCGGCCAACTCCCCATGGACAACTCCCCATGGGACAACTTGCTGTGGGACAAATGTTACACATATCAAAGAGATGGTGGAATGGAAAGGAAAGGATGCAAAAGGAGGGACAAAATAAAATGTGAACAACAACAATTAATTTTTTTAAAAAAATATTTTAAATAATTAAATTGAATTGTCCTACAGTGAGTTGTTCCACAGCAAGTTGGCCACGGCGAGTCGTCCCACGGCGTGTCGTCCCATGGAGGGTGGGTCCTAGCATGCTGTCCTATTCCGAGTTTGTAAGACAGAAGCATCAGTGGAGCCACCTGTGAACAAAATGAAAACACAGCTTGACTTGCCCAGCACCGTTCCCCCATCTGCCATAGTTCTTGCCCCTACCAAAACAACTTTTAAGTGTAGCCCCAGGTCACCAAAAGTTGCTTAATTTGAGATTTGGATAAGTTACATTGGATAAGAGCCAATGTAACCTGGATGAGGAAATGAGAATTCCTGAGAAGGCTTCCCTTCTCTAATTGTATATTATAGAAGTAGGGGCAGATAGGAGTACTATTTTTTTTTATTGGAAGGTAATGAAATAATTAAAACTATTTCGGACTTAATGTTTGACCCTCCTGAGCTTCATTCTGATCAAGATCCTATTGATAGCTCTCTGCTTTGCCTTTGGTTCATAATGTAAGCTGGGCTTTTAGCCAATTTTGCAAAAAAAAAGTGAGCCTTTGTGTGTGGCTTTATGGAGAAATAACTCTATAACATGCCTTATCTTTCTTTGGCCTTGCACTATGGAAATCCATTCACTGCTTTCAAGTCAATTAGACTAGTCAGTTGGTTAAAAAAAAAACATTCTGGATATAGGTAGTCCTTGACTTACAACAGTTCATTTAGTGACCGTTCAAAGTTACAATGGCACTGAAAAAAGTGACCTTACAGTGACTCTTCATAGGAAGCTTGCTGGCTGAACAAAAATGTGAAGCAGAGTCTTTAAGTCTGTCCAGCACTCTCTAGGGATAGGAAGCTTCAAGCCTGGAAATACAGGATTTTGTTTTCACTGGATCCAGATGGAATTCAAAACTTATGAAATGGAGACATGCTGTAGCACACATACTGGGATTTGCTTAGTCTTGAAGTGTGGTCAGGCTCCTTAACTATTGCCGTAACTACTTTTTACTCCTTCAGTTGTTTTGATTAGTGTTTATCAATTTTAGGTGATTTTAAGTGTTGCCTTTGGATCATCTTGCTAACCTGCACTTGAGGTTCTGCAACTGTAGGAGAAATGTAATGAACAAGTTGTAAACCAAAATGCAGTACAGCATGAAAGTTACCACAACGTGCATAGATTTGCTATAAAATTGACCACGTTCTGTCATAAAGGCAACCACAAATAAGGGTGGCGTGAGAGACTGTGTATTATTTGCAGTTGTTCAGGAGAAATATCGATCATCATCTCCTTTCTGCCTACCTGCAACATCATACTTACAGATTGCTTTGGTCCTTCAACTGAGATGGTAAAGATCTGCATTCTGGACCAACTGTCTCCTGTTCTCCTTTTTCAGCTTCTTCTGCTTCGTCGTCTTTGGCAAATCCCCCAGTAGAAGCAGAGCAAGCATGGCCCCAGAGCAGTGGGGAAGAAGAGCTGCAGCTACAGTTGGCACTGGCCATGAGTAAAGAGGAAGCGGAGCAGGTAAGCGCCAAGGTAAATCTATCACTGGAGGCTCTTTGGATGCATGGAGGTGGGGCAAAGAATGGGCAAATGATCATTGTCTGATGGGATATAAAATACTGTATATTTCAACAGAGGGGCTGTTATTTGTTGTGCAAGTTCTCGTTTGAATCTGTTGAAGCTTAAGAACTGTCATGTAGAAGAATATAAAACTTTATTAGATCAGGAATACTATTTTGATTTGGGCCCATTCTCCTATTTCTTTGTAGGAAAAAACATCTCCAGAAGTTTCCTCTCCCCACCTCAACATCTATCAGGTTAAAAAATTGGGCAGCTGCTACAACTGTAGACTTGCATAGGTTATTCTAACCCAATATCCTCAACTTCATCAAACGTGAAGATGTGTGGATTTCCATTCCCAGAATTCCACAGCCAGATTGTTGGCTGGGGGATTCTGGGAGTTGAAGTCCACACACTTAAAGTTGCTGAGGTTGAGGAACATATGCTGTAGGCCAGGGGTGACAAACTGGCGTCCCGCAGGCTGGATGCATCGCGCACAGGCCACGCCCACCTCAGCTCCGCAAAGGCAAAAAGCATCGCGATACGTCATGTGATACGATCAAGTTTGACATCCGTGCTGTAGGCCATGAAGAGAATCAGAAATAGAGTGCAGGCTTTCAAATTTTGTTTCCTTATTTTTTTTCCCCCACACTTGGGAGTGATGTCATGGACTTCGCATTAGATCTAATCCCAAAGCATAGCCTGATCCCAATTATTTTTGTAATTTTCTAATTGCAATTGTAATCCCACCTGAGTAACATCAGAAGCTCTAAGAGGGCTCCCCTTATGTAGGGCAGCTGGGCAAGCTAATAGAGCAGCCAACGATTCCCCTCAGACTCTGTGCAGAGACTTTATAGCCTCTTAAGGTCTGGTACCCGAAGGATTGCCTTTCCTAACCTCTCTGTTTACGCAGGAATCTCCACCTCCCGCATGCAGCCCGGTACTGGACCACGGCCAGTTCAGAATCGGGTCACACAAGTGGCAGGTGAGTGCCCACGTGCAGCTCCATTTGTGCAAGGACCCGCCGCTGGCACAAATGGAGCTTCACGCAAGCAAATGGAACTGTGCTCGCAAGCGCCTGCGTCTGCTGCTCTCACGGAACCATTTCCTCTCCCCCCCCAGTCTGCAAAGCCGGAAAGATTGGGGACCACTGTGCTTAGGCACCTGAGATCATTTTCAAAGCTCTTCCCCCCCCCAGTGTTTCTCTGCATCCCCCCATCTTTGATGACAAAAAAGTTTTATGAATGGTAAACCCCAATGACTCACCTCCTTTTGATGGTTGCTCAGTGCCAAAAAAGTACAGGTAGTCTTTTTGTTACAACAGTAATTCAGATCTAAATTTCTGTCACTTAAGTGAACAGTCATAAAGTACAACATCATGTGACCTCATTGTTCAGCAGTGAGAATCTCAGCAGTTCCCATTGTTCATAGAATCCCTAATGGTTGTTAGGCAAGGATTCACCCCAATCCAAGGCATTCCTGGCTTGGCCCTGCCTTCTCCCGCCTGTCTGCCATTTTGGCCACCCTGCAGTCCACCACCTGGTAAGAAAGCCAGCTGTGATTTGGACAAAGCTGCATGCGGCCTTTGGAAGAAAGCCTAGTGCGGCCAGCAGCTGCATCGTGAAGGGCCAGGCCAGATGCGCCTTGTCAACAGTGGGTAGAAGAAGATGGGGAAGGCCAGCTGGGAGCAGCAGAGCTGGCAAGGTGAGAGGAATGCAGGCTGGCAGGGCAAATGGAACCTAAGGCCAGCAGAACCCAGAGTGGCAGAGCTGGTGGAGGGCAGGGTGGCTAAAAGGGCAGAGATGGGGGCAAGAGAACAGGGAGGGAGGAGTTGAGGCACACCCGCAATTATTAATTGTGGGTGGGCTGCAAAGCCCCTGAATTTTGATCACATAACCGGAGGGGGACTGGAATGGCCGTAACTTTGGGGACTGGGCAGTAACTTTCACTCATGGCTGCCGTAATTTCAAACAGTTGCCGATCTTCAACTTTGTTTCCACTGTATCGGGCTGCTGTTTTATCAGCAATTATTAATTATTAATTACTTTCAATTCTGCTGTGCATTTGTTGTCCTGTTTTTTAATTCAAATAGGCTCCCAGCCCAGCTTAAAAAGATGCTAGTGAGAAAGTCCCTGGGTTTAATAGTGTAAAAGTTTTAAAAAGGTTACTTGTAAATGAATTTTATTTTTTTAAAGGCTATTTTAATCAGCCTTGATTCAGTTGGAATAATCAGATTGATTTAGGCATTGAAATTTTCAAATCAGATTAATTTGGAAAATTGATTTGAAATTGCCTTCAGATCAAACGATTTAAGTTGAAGCTGTCACTGCCTGATGCTGAAGGGGCTAAAGAGGGTTTGTGAGTAAGTGCCCAGTGCCCAATTGAATGACAACTGGACCAAAAATAATGGTGCAAACAGACGTGGGTCTAAATAAAAGCAGAGAAAAATCATAAGGCTTTAGGGAGCCTTTCTCAACCCGGGTTCTGACAGATGCATTGGTTTAAAAGTTCATCATCTTGGAACATTGATCATGTGGCCTTGGGCTGTTAGTTGCAGTAGATCGCAAAGTCCAGAGGGAATCAGAATTGAGGAAGAAATCTTTTTTAAAGAGGCTGCTTTATTAGGGCAGCTTTCCCTCGTCTGATGTCTTCCAGATGTGTTGGACTGTAGCTCTCATGTTATAGCTTAGTGAAATGTGCAGTCCAAATGTACACTTGAGGCTGTTGAGAGTCATGGATCTGGTTTAACAAGTATGCCTGCAGGATACAGAGAGTTGTGGAAGGGGGCTGATACTGTCAGTTCCTTCAGCTGTTGCTCCTCTTAGAATATGATCCCTGTTTAAAATATCTTGACTGGAGCCCTTAAGAGGGCCAGGGAGCTGAATTTTGACAGGGATTGTTTTGAGCATAGCTGAGCTTTAAGTAAGTACTTTGTAATGCATCTGGTCAGCATAAGGGTTGAATTGCTGTCCACAAATCGTCCGATGCCGTTGGAAGTAAAATCAGCTTCGAGCGGTGGGGAGGGCAGTATGGTGGTGATCTGACTTTCCTTCTTCCTCCAGGGCTGGTTCCAGTTTACATGGATAGGGGAGGAGAGGCCCAGTCTATGGCTCCCACTACATGGGGTTCAATGCTTTCTCCTCTCCTGTTTAATATCTGCATGAAGCCACTGGGTGAGGCCAGCCCTTTATTTGGGATGAGGCATATCGTAAGTGTACAGGTGATACCCAGCTATATATCTCCACCCTGGTCCTTCTGAGTGATGCTGTGGAGGTCCTGTTTATTTCAGGAGGCTGTGGGAGACTTGATGGAGAGCAAGAGGCTTTGGCTCAACCCTAGCAAGACCAAGTGACTTTGGGTTTTAGGATCCCCTTGTTCTGGGGACTTTCCATCTCTCATTCCGGATGGGATTGCACTGCCCAAGACAGATCCCGTGGACAGTTTAGGAGTCCCCCTGGACTTGTGGCTCCAACTCAAGAAGGCAGCCATGGCTAGGAAGGCATTGTACAGCTTCATGTTGTGGATCAGTTGCACCGATTCCCATAGTTGACTGGGGAATTCTGGGAGTTGAAGTCCACAAGTCTTAAAATTGCCAAGGTTGGACACCCCTGGTTTACACAAAACCCCTTAATGATGCTCTTTTATTTACCTTTCCTCTGTTGTAGTTTTCATATCCCCTCACTCTCCTAAGAAGTCTGCTTCCTCCACCGAATGGACCACTCTTGGAAAAAGATGTGCTCACTTACTCTGCATAGGTGAAGCGAAGCCCCAAACTCTGTTCGTGATCATTAATTCTCCTTAGATCTGCTGCTATCCAACCACTGTTCGTTTCCATCACTGAGCTGAGCGGCTGTTCCTACACTTCCAACGTGACTCGCCAAGCATAAAACTCCTTCCCAGTGTCTGTGGAGATTCTCAATCTTCCAAGTCATAATTGTCTCAAAGGTGCTTTTTTTCTTCAAAAGGCAACTGGATTGTTTTTTCCTGAACTGATGAAGCTTCTTGGATGAGAAGTGAAGCTTTTTTTTTTTCTTCCCCAAGGAAAAAAACGGTCCAGTGCCTTTTGAAGAAAAAAAAAAAGCACCTTTGAGATTCCTTCCCGGTGCTCTCTTGTCAGCTCCTTCCTGTTTCTGTGGCTCCTTCCAGTTGGATTTGATCCCCTGTGTTCCCTCCCCTCCCCCCAATAACCCCATCCCATCTGGTCCTCTTTTATTTTCAGCTCCTTGTTTATTCTTGGCACCTTCTTTCCACTTCCCTTGACCACCCCTCCATGCCGCATTTCCTCCTACTCCACCCTGTTGTTCTAAACGGAAAGCAAATAAATTCTTACTGAGATATTAATTAAGATCTGTGCCATTGTGCCAGGTTTTATTTTTGTTCTATTTGTAGTAAGGAAAGATGTCTAGGTAACAGGATAAAAAAAAAAGTCTAGACGTGGTATGGACTATTTTTCTTCTTCTGTTATGTTCAAGTATGAAAAAGTAATTAATTTTTTTTTTGAATGAGGGGGGGGAAAAAGTAATTACTTTTTTGGGAGGGCTTGGGATGATTTGATCCAGAAGTTGGAAAGTTGAGGTAGAGAGAAATATTTCTCCGTAGTGTTAGTGGAAGGAGCTTTCCCTTCTCCAGTGCCTGGCTTTTATACAGGATAGACAGAAGGAGCAGAATATTCTACATCTGCTGCACAGCCAACGTCTTCCCTCCTCCTCTCTTCTGACAGCTCACTTGCCTACATCCGGTTTCTGATTCCCTGTAGCTGCCAGGCTGATGCTTCACAGACATGGACATTAGCATAAAAATATGTCTTTCTTCTCCCACAGAGAAGGCATCCACTTTCCAGATACCATCAGGCTGTGGCCCTTGTTCCACTGTGTTGGAAGAGTGTAGGGAGAGCTGATAAATGAGTATCATAGCAGGATTCAGAACCTGGTTTCTTCATACCCTATTTTATTCATTTGACTACCCAATTTCAGCCTTGTCTACCTGGTGGCTCTCTAGAGGGCTTGGACTTCAGTTCCCATCATTTATGGAAGTGGACGTCCATCACATGTGAACACACCTGATTGGGAAGGGTGATCCCACCTAAAGTGATTATTAAGGGTTGGAAAGTGAGGATATCTTGCTGATTCTTGGACCTGTGCAGACACATTTCTCAACATATATCACGATACAGTTCCAATACACTTTGCTTTTGCTTACTAGAACACGACTTAGGGCTTGGAGTGCTTTTGAAATTTTTGTGAGAACTGTTTAATTGTAGCCAGGAAGAGAAGTCACACTTCGCAAGTATACCTAGAACTGGTTTGGTCAATTTGGAGCGAAATGGAATACTGGATGTGAGCTTGGCAGTTTTCTTGCAGACATTTCATTACCCAGCTAGGTAACATTATCAAGGCTAGAAGGGGTTTTGCACTGATAATATTATCTAATTGGGCAATAAAACACCTGCAAGGAAACAACCAAGCTTGGAAAGCATCCAGGACCCCACAGTTCAATCGTGAGGTGCAAATATTCTCTCGGAAACTGAATATTATTGGGCAGTTCAAAATCTGGGAGGTGATGGGCTAGTTCAGGGGTCTGCAACCTTGACAACTTTAAGACTTGTGGACTTCAGCTCCCAGAATTCCTCAGCCAGCATAGCTTGGGCTAGTTCATTTGATTGGGCTTTTGCAACCCAGTGTGGAAATGGCTTTGAGAACTGGAGATACCCTCCGTCTCTCTTGTCTTCTCCTCCTTCCTCTCCATGTGTCAAACTCCATTCCATGCCTCTTATGTTGTGTTTCTTCCCTCCCAGCCCCCTGCAGTGGCCGACGAAGACCTACAGCTCCAGCTAGCCCTTAGCTTGAGCAAAGAGGAGCACGACAAGGTTAGACTGCTGTCATGACACCCCACTCAGTTCTTCCTGAAATAATCAACTAAACCACTTTCTCTGAGCTAGTCTTGACCCCTCACACTTTTCTAACTAACGTGGCATTCTCTGTCTCTCCAAGTCCCCATCCAAAGCAGGGTGATGGCAACAATCTCTCCGTTTTCAGCTTTAGGCTTCCTGAATTATCCACTCCCTGGTTAATTGTCCATTCTTCAGTTGGCCAGTTTCCAAGTTTCTCCCAGTGAGAAGCTGGTTAATAAAACCGGTCAATCCAGGTATCCTAAGCTTGACTGGGCTATAACTTTAACTCAGGCCTACTAAGGTATTCGATGAATGTCTCCAGAAGCTTGGAGACAGTACCCTGGAGGAAAATGTACTTACGAGTTGTTGATGAGAAAGAGGGATCAGACCCTCAATTGGAAAGGAAGGCCACAATTTGGAACAAAGAGTTGGATGTCTTTTTGGATTTCTTTTCTCACCTTAGCTGAAGGTGAGGTGGAAAGGCAAGAAAAAGAAGACTTTTTAAAAAAAATCTGTGTTATCTCTAGATTTTACTGGATTCACGCAGTAGATGAAAAGATAAAGTACTAGAAATTCAGCCAGTTTCAGCCAGTAAAAATCCTGGAATGAGAAGTTAACACTGAGATTGCTGGGCACCTTGAAGGTCGTATAGGTTTTGAGCCTGAGGGAGTTGCAGTGATTAGAAGATGTTTCCACTTGGACTCCACTTTTATGGACTACTGACCAAAGCAGCCAAAATTCAGGATTCCCATTATTTGGCAGCAACTAGTTTGTTGGAAGGTTAGAATAGCGTCTCTTTCACTTCTCTCTCTTGGATGTTTTTCCTGAAGATAACTTTTCACACAAAACAGAAACATCAGTAGCAGATGCTTCAAACCTGATCTGATCCCTGGCCAAGCTGCTGCTTCATCTATATTCTGGCTCTTGCTCTCTCTATGCCAAAGGTGAGTAACCACCTGTCACTTTCTACTACCTCTGCTCATGCCTCTGTCCTTTTCACAACCCTCTTACAGGAAGAGCGGATCCGGCGCGGGGATGACCTACGCCTCCAGATGGCCATTGAAGAGAGCAAGAAGGAGACGGTCCCTGCTAAGGAGGAGGTGAGATGGAAGAGGCAGGCGGGCAGCTGCCTGCCATGATAGTTAAACAGGATCTCCCATGCAAAGGGGTGATGTGGGTGGGAGGAGGGCAACGTGGGGCAGCAAGTATTTCCCTTTGTGCCCCATGGGATCAGCTCCGAGGGGCATCTGGCTGGTCCCTTCGGGAAAAAGAGAATGCTCAAGTAGAAGGCCTGTCAGGCACAAGTAACTAGGAACCGGAGTTTAAGTTCAAATTACTTCAGGTTTATTACTAGTAGTCCTCAACTTACAAGAGTTCATTTAGTGACCATTCGAAGTTCCGACGGGCATTGGAAAAAGTGACTTGTGACCATTTTCCACACTTATGACCGCTGCAGCATCCCCATGGCCATGTGATCAAAATTCAGATGACTCATATTTGCAGTGTCCCAGGTCATGTGATCATATTTTGCTACTTTCTGACAAGCAAAGTCAGTGGGGAAGCCAGATTCATTGAACAACTGCAGTGATTCACTTAACAACTGTGGCAAGAAAGGTCGTAAAATGGCACAAAACTCACTTAGCCAATGTCTCACTTAACAATAGGAATTTTGGGCTCAGTTATGGTCCTAAGTCGAGGACTACTCGTACATGCTACCTATACACAAGAATCTGACCTACTAACGGTCAAGGCAAATTGGCGCCTGATAACAGTCAATGGAATTCAAGGGGGTCTGGACTTCAATTTCTTGTGGGAGTGGAGTGATTCCAAACTGATGATACACTTGGCCCCGCCCCCAGGCTCAGCCTGGTCATCTCCTACAACAGGGCTCTTCAGACTTGGCCCTTTTATGACTTGTGGACTTCAACTCCCAGAATTCCTCAGCCAGCATGCCTGGCTGAGGAATTCTGGGAGTTGAAATCCACAAGTCATAAAAGGGCCAAGTTTGAAGACCCCTGTCCTACAATCCCCATGCTTTACTCTAGCAAAACACCTCTTAGCAACATTGTGAAATAGTTATCATTTTATGGACATGATTCGTATCCCACCTTTCTGCCCTGGGGAGCACTCAAGTTAACTAATACCATTTTATATCTTCTTCCAAAGAACTTTATGCATGGACGTTTTAGTTTTATCTTTGCACAAATACTATGTTGTCAATTAAACCAAAAGTGAATATACAAATCAAAGTCTCTCCCTTGATTTCTGGGTGGTTTGCAGGTCATCATCGTGGGTGCTCTGTCTCACCTTTATGTAATAATGTCGGAGTTGAAAGGACTTTTACAATTTAAATGACACTTCCCAAAATAAAAGAAAACGAAAACCAGAAGTAGACCTTAGTGTAACAAAGCCTTTGAATTCAGTTATTGAGAACAGGGTGCCAAGCTGTTGCAATTGGCTCTGGTTCATAATAAATGTAAATAAACCAATTCTGCCCACTTCTAAGAACAAGATTTTATTTATTTGTTTGTTTGTTTGGGGTATAGCGTCTACAGAGGTCATGCAATCACTGATATACAACACTAATAAAATGCAGTATCTATTCAAACACAAGTATAAATTTGTTTGTTTATGAAATTTATTTGCTGATTATCTTGTATCTAACATCTCTGGGCAGCTCACAGCATGAAGACATTAGAGCATTAAAAAACACTAAAATCAGCAATCATAGAAACACAGCGGATAAAATCATTAACAGTTTAAATAGAGCAGACATGTCAAACACAAGGGCCGGGGGCCGGATGTGGCCCGCAAAGTGGTTTCCTGTGGCCCACGAAGCCATCCTGGAAACAGTGAGGGAATGGCCCCCGCTGCCTTGGCCCTGGCCCAGGCCGGCCAGGAGCCAATGTACAATTTTGTGGTGGCCATCTATGCTGAAACGCATTCAGTCTTAGCTCCACAAGGCCATCTAGAAACAGCAAGGAACCAGCCCCTGCTGTGTCGGCCCCGCCCCCTGGGTGCATGCTGGGGAGGTGTCACCCTTTGTGAGGAATGAAGAAATGGACCATGCAAGCCTTGGCGCTTGCCCCGGTCCCACCCCCTTCTGCCAGACACCCTCAGATCTGTCCCACTCCTGCCCAGGGCCCCACAGGCCCCCTTGACGCGAACGATGTAGAGCTGGCCATGCCCACCCAGTAGGCCACACCCACTCCATCCACGCCCACCCAGTAGGCCGCATCCACCCTGGCCGCACCCACCCGGCCCCCTGAGGGCAACCGCAATGCTGATGCGGCCCTCAATGAAATTGAGTTTGACATCCCTGAAATAGAGCATCAGCAAATAGGTCTACATTTAGGGCTGAGTGTGAATCTGTGCCTTCTCTTACTAGTCCTAGTCCACATTTCTAACACTACATTCCAGCAGGATGCTCTAGGCCAGGGAAATGGGAGAAACCACTGGATGTTAAATCGAACAGTGAAGAGGCGCTATAATTTTTCTCTTTCCCACTACAATCTCTGTTGCATTCTCCATCACCCAGTCATCCTTGATGGACCTTGCTGATGTCTTTACTGCTCCACCACCTGCTGATACGTGGGGTGCTCAGCCTGCTCCTGCTGACCCTTGGGGTGGCTCTGCCACAGTAGTGCCTGCAGCCCGCACGGACCCGTGGGGCCCCCCTGCTGCTGGAACAGCCCCTACAGGAGATCCATGGGGAACTTCCACAGCACCTCCTGCACCCCCCTCGGACCCCTGGGGAGCGCCCCCAGCTGCCAGCGCTGATCCCTGGAAGGCCGAAGGTAAGAACCGACTCTGAAACATTCTTCATCTCTGATCACCATTACTTTTTAATTATGTACTTGTGTGCGGTTCCTCTTCTGAAAAGATATTTTAAGAGGAGGAGGGTGGCTAACATGGGGGTCCCGCTGCATTTCATAAGACCTATGGATGAGGCTGTTTATAGTAGCTGTCTCCTCTGCTGCGAGCTGCTTGGTGGAGTGTAGAGAAAAGAGTGCAGAGCAGGGGTAGACAGCTATGGCGACTTTACGACTTGTGGACTGGCTGGATCAAGAATTCTGGGAGTTGAAGTCCACAGGTCGTAAAGTTGCCACAGCTGGAGCTGTGATAAAAAGAAAATGGGGGTAATAGAAACAGGGTGTTCCCATCCCCTTTTGGTTCTGTCACCACCTCCTGCTTGATTTATCCCTTCCTAGCATGCAGCTTCCCCACAGATTACCTTTGTGTGAATTGACTCTTTGCAGGTTCAGAAAGGCTGCCTGTTGCTTTTCAGTTGTGAAGGGTGTAGAAAAAAATGTTTCAACCAGGTCAGGTCAGCACCAGGCTAGATGAGGCCTTCTTTTATGCTGCCCTCAGTCCTAGGATGAAAGACATAGTCATCCCCAGAATTCCTCCTGGCCTCTACAACCATGGTGTCTCTCTGCCTCTCATTTTTAATGAAGAGGTTCTCTGTGGTTTGTCCTAAAAGCCGCACACGTCCTCTGTATCCATTGGAAGAGAGACCCTTGATGTGCAGAGCAGACCCTATTTAGCCAAAGACCCACTTCTGTTCTTAGCTTTCCTGCAGAAAGGCTCTCAGCAGATAATGGATGTTTGTTCTTTTTTGGACCTGAAATGCCCTTTTTAAGGTGAGTAACCACAGCTATAGACCATGTGGTCTCACCATAGATTTGGGAAAAGGCATTACAGATAGTCCTCAACTTACAACTAGTTGCTTAATGACCCAGAGCTACTTACCTCCCATTTGTTAAGTTATGACGCTTGCATACCCTCTGTGCCACCTACCACCGTGGTCACATGATCACACTTTAGGCACTTGGCAACTAGCTCATCCTTATGGCCATTTGCAGCATCCCATGGTGACACGACCACATTTTACAACATATTGTTGCCAATTTCCAGCATTTACTTCTGGTTTTTGGCAAAAAAAAAAACCCATTGGAGAAAATCAGTTCTCTTGATAACTGCCACATTTGCTTCATGTCTGCCACAGAAAATGTCAAAAAATCAGGTCCAGTTACATGATACCTCAATTTACAACCAGAACAACTTAACGACCATAATTCCAGGCTCAATTATGGTTGGGAGAACTACCTGTATTAAATTGGCAGTTCTAGTTTTTCCTAATAATTCCACAAATGAAATTTTCCTTTTTTGGAGCAAGGTCATGCTGGATTAATGTTTGTTTTTTTTTTAATCAAGCTGTCTACTGTGACCCCCAAGATCCCTTCCCTGGTTAGTCACTGCCAGTTCAAACCTCTTTAACATACATATTTTGTGCCAACACACGTCCCTTTAATTTAATTACATTTAACTGCATTTGCTGTTTGAAAGCCCATTTATCTCCCAAAAGGGAATCCTTTGAAAACTCTCGATTTAACGCCAAGCTCTAAATGGTTTGCTGTCATCAGCAAACAGAGTCACTTCAATGCTTAGCCCTTGTTCCAGATCATTGAAATATCAAATAAAAAGTATTGGTCACAGCACCTGTGGCTGGAAGGTAGATGCTTTGCACATCTTTGCACAATTGAGAATTGCCCGTTTATTTTTATCACTTATTTCATTTTTTTAATCAGTTCCCAGTCCCTGAGTGTATCTACACTTTTAACCCATGGCAGCTGACTTTGCTCAAGATCAGAGGTCTCCAAACCTGTCAGCTTGAAGACTTGTGGACTTCAACTCCCAGAATTCCTCAGCCAGCATGGCTGGCTGAGGAATTCCCGGAGTTGAAGTCCACAAGTCTTCAAGTTGCCAAGTTTGAAGATTCCTGCTCAAGATCCCTTGGTGAGGGCTTTTTGAAAATCCAAGTACACATTATCTACTAGGTATCTTGTCCACATGCTTGTTCCCACCTTCCCAAAACTCCAAAAGTTTCAGGGGATCACTCACCTTTTGGAAGCCATGTTGGCTTATTTTCAGTTACTGCTTTTTCTTTCCTGTGTTCTTTTGGGATCTTAGTGAGCCACTTCCAGTTAGGGGGTTGAGATAAATGCACAAATTATCTAATAGGGAAAGCCATGTCCTTTGCTTGAGTTAAACCTCTTTACAGTTTGATGGTCCTTCACCAGTGGAATGCATGCTCCCTGATTGCCACACAGAATGCAGAATAACAGTTAGAAGAGACTTTGGAAGTTCTCTAGTCCAACACCACACCACCACCCCGCCCCCAGCAGAAGACCGTGTACCATTCTGGACAAATATCTGTTCAATCTCTTCTTAAAAACGTCCTGTGATCGAGCATTATTTTGGCCAGCCTGCTCCTGAAAACCCTCCTGTGTTTTCCTTGTGCAGCCGGATCTAAACATGCCAGAATTGCTGGACAGGCTGTTCTTGAATTCCGTCTCTGACATGGTTCGTTTCCTTCCCAGGTGGGACTTCTGTGTGGCCCACAACAGCACCACCCACAGACCCATGGTCCTCCAGCACGGCTCCCACACCCCAAGGAAAGCCTGCTCCTGCTCCTTGGGCTCCAGCGTCCACTTTTTCAGATCCCTGGGGGGGCTCCCCTTCTAAGCCGAGCACCAACGGCGTGGCACGTAAGGATGAAATTCGCAGTAGGGGTTTGGGGGCCAAGTGGTGGGAGAAAGGGAGGGGAGGGGCTGGTCTTTCTCACTGGGTCAGCTGAAGGGGAAGGACTCCTAGTTCAGAGTTGGGGTAGAGGGCCTCTTTCTGCTCCCAGCTAATCCTTCTGCCCCATCCTTCTTTTTGTGCCCTGTTCCTCTCCCAGCTGCCAGAGGCTTTGAGCAGTTTGATGACGGGGACAGGGATGAATTCTCTGATTTTGACAGCCTGCGCCCAGCACTGCCCAAATCTGGAAGCAGCACAGGTCAGCCTTGCTTCCCCCTCCCCCTCCCTTTCCTAGGCATGGTTCCTAACGCTGCACCCCAGTGTGTTTTTCCACCTTGGCAGCTTGAAGATGTGTGGACTTCAACTCCCAGAACTCCCCAGCAAGCCATGCTGGCTGAGGAATTCTGGGAGTTGAAGTCCACACATCGTCACGTTTGCCATGTTTGAGAAACACAGCGCTAACCTCCCTTCCCTCTAACCTATCCAGGCCGATGGTTTGTGGACTAGATCAGGGCTTTTCAACCAGTGGTACGGGTACCACCTGTGGTACATTGGCACCTGGCAGGTGGTACGCAACCATCCCAGAAAAGTGGTAGCGGGGGAGGGGAATGTGTTGAACCAGTGGCAGGACCGCACAAGCCTAAGCGAGAGATGGCTGGAGCTGCAGGGCTGTCAGGGCTCAGCGGAAGCGCCAGGATCAGTGCCGCTTTCCAGCTGATCGGCGCTTCTTCAGGACTGTCAGTGCTCAATGGAAGCGCCAGGATCAGCGCCAGGCTCCAGCTGGAGCTCTGCACTGATCCTGGTGCTTCTGCTGAGCCCTGAAGAAGCACCAATCAACTGGAAAGCAGCACTGATCCTGGCGCTTCTGCTGAGCCCAGAAGAAGCGCCGATCAGCTGGAATGTTGCAGCATCTCCAGGGTCTTGTGATTTACATTCAGATGCTTGGCAACTGATTCATATTTATGATGGTCACAGTGTCCCAGGGTCATGTGAAGTGACCAAAACCTGCTGCAACCACCCAGCAGACAGGGGGAATAAAAACCAAACACCCCCCACCCCANCTTTTTTTCTTTTTTTTTTTTTTTTGGTCATCAAGTTTCTGACACCTTGCTAGGCGACTGGTGGTACTCGGATATTGCCATATCCTAAAAGTGGTACAATGGGTGAAAAGGTTGAAAAGCCCTGGACTAGTCGAGCTCTCGCTCCCCTGGCATGGGAGAGAATTTTCATGCTCCTCCCTTTGATTCTCTCCCTCCCTACCTCCTCTAACCTTGTTTGGACATTGGCTTTCCAAACTACATGTTCTTGCATGTAGTTTGAAAGGGATGAGAAAATAAATTAACACTTTAATTAACAAAAAACTAAAATCTGGGGAAGGGAGGTTTGTTTATGGTTTGGGGAATGGGGGCAAAATGATTGTGGAAAGTCATAAACCAAGCACAATTCCTTGTATGACCAGCCAATTGCCCTGTCTGTAATGGGGCCTGTGTTTTCCGTCCATATTCTCTGTACATCTGGATATTTACTCTCTCCCTCTCTTTCCCTCCCTCCCTCCCCCCCTTCTCTCTTTCTCTTTCTCTTTCCACAGGTGAACTGTCCCTCTTAGCAGGGGAGGTCCCTCTCTCTCAGGCTGGCAGTGGCAAGGACAGCCCCAATGCTTTTGATATGGCTGCCCTGGCTGGGTCACTGCCAGAGACCTGCAAGCCGATGCGTAAAACTCCCGAGTCATTCCTGGGTCCCAACGCAGCCCTGGTGGATCTGGACTCGCTGGTTAGCAAACCTGCTGCTCCATCCAGCAGCACCAAGGCTTCCAACCCCTTCCTCCCCCCTGGTAAGGGTTTGTGTGTCTTGGGGTGTCAAGGGGAGCAAATAAGGGGGCTCCTACTCATTGCTGTGCTCAAGAAGAATCAAACTTGGTTTGAGGTGTAGGAAATCGGTCCCATTGCATTGAAATAAAAAGGAATCATCCGTGTTTGAATTAATTACAGATAGTCCTCGACTTACAACCACAATTGAGCCCAGAATTTATGTTGCTAAGTGAGAAATTTGTTAAGTGAGTTTTGTCCCATTTTACAACTTTGCTTGTGAAGTGAATCACTGCAGTTGTTAAATTAGTAACATAGTTGTTAAGTGAATTTGGCTTCCCCGTTGACTTTGCTTGTCATAAGGACGCAAAAGGGGATCACGTGACCCTGGGACACTGCAACGGTCATAAATATGAACCAGTTGTCAAGCATTTGAATGTAAATCACATGATCATGGGGATGCTGCAATGGTCATAAGTGTGAAAAATGGTCATAAGTCACTTTTTTCAGCGGCATTGTAACTTTGAACGGTCACAAACAAACTGTTGTAAGTCGAGGACTACTTGCATAAGCAACACTGAAATCAGACTAGCCAGTTTGGTCTAGTGGTTATGGCACCAGGCTAGAAAACGAGAGGCTGTGAGTTCAAGTTCCGCCTTTTCCATGAAAGCCATTTGGGTAACTTGGGGCCAATCACTAGGAGACTTTGAGTTATAGTCCCGCCTTAGCCATGAAAACCAGGTGGGTCATTTGGGCCGATCACCAGGAGACTGTGAGTTCTAGTTCTGCCTTAGACATGAAAGCTGGCTGCATGACTTTGGGCCTGTCATGGTCTCTCAGCCCAACCCACCTCACAGGGATGTTGTTGTGGGGGGAATAGGAGGAAGGTGTGTTTGCCACCTTCAGTTATTCATAAAAATAAGGCGGGATACAAATAAATAAAATTTAAATTCGTTTTTGAAGTAGCTTTCTCCCAATTCGACTGCCTGACAAAATGTTAATTTGCACACCCCCATTGTTCTCAGCTGGTGTGGGAATTATGGGGTGTGATTGCCAAAAATATTTCAGAGGAGTGGTTCAGGTTTTGAGTGTGGAGACCAAGATTCAAGTTCCCACTTCACTTTAGGACTTACTTGGATAACTGAGTCAGTCACGATCAATCCAGCCTACCTCCAAGGGTTGCTATGGTTGTGAATGAAATGAATGACTCCATGCGTGTCATCTTGAGCATCTAAAGCAGGGGTGTCAAACTGCCGGCCTGCAGGCCGGTTGCATTATGCAGAGGTCGCGCCCACCCCAGCTCCGGCAATGCGAAAAAAGTCACCACACTTCACGTGACGCAGCGAGTTTGACATCCGTGATCTAAAGGAACGGTAGGAAATAAAGGCTGTAAGACTAGAAAGGTAGAACTTTCTTTATCTGTATGGGTGCCTGTTTGGAGAAAGCTGTGTGAAGGTTTATTCATAGAAGAGAGTTTGCTGGCCTGAAGCAGGACCAGACTGACAGGTAGAACCTTCTAGAGCAGTGTTTCTCAAACTTGGCAACAATGTGTGGACTTCAACTCCCAGAATTCCCCAGCCTGCATGCTGGATGAGGAATTCTGGGAGTTGAAGTCCACGCATCTTCAAGCTGCCAGGGTTGAGAAATATATTTCTAGAGGATGCATCAGAACAGTGTTCCTCAGCCTTGGCAACTTGAAGACACGTGGCCTTGAACTCTCAGGATTCTTCCCGGGTTAAGCAACTCCCAAATAGCCAGACCTCTGAGGGTTTTAGGCCAGAAGGAGGCCCTCTGGGCTTCTCTGTAACGATCTTTTCTTTTCTGTCTTGTTGCCTGCTGCAGGTTCAGCTCCCGCCCCATCTGCCTCGGCCACCAATCCATTCCAGGCAGCAGCAGCCACCCCGCTGTCACTCAATCAGCTCCGTGTCAGTCCAGTACTTCCGTTATCACAGCCAGCGCCACCAGCGTTTCCTGCCAAAGCTCCAATCGTCTCCGTGTCCCCCATGGCTCCCGGGATGCCCTTAGCCTCCGTTTCCCCCATGGTGGCGGTGCAGCCCTTGGGGGCTGTTCCCCCTCTGGGGCTCCCTGCCATGGGGCTGCCCCCTCAGAGCCTGCCCCCTGCCAGCGTTGTTTCCAGCAGCACTTCGGCCTCCACCCTGGGGAGCACCAACCCCTTTTTGCTATAACTGGGGGACCTTTGGCCCGGTGTTGACCACCCAAACATCCCCTTTCGCCCTGTGTTCCCCATTGGCAGTGGGGAGCCTCCGATGGCAGCCACCGAGCAGGGGCAGCTGAATTGGGATGGGAGGGAGGTGGAAGGAAAGGGAGGGACCCAAGTCTTTGCAGGCCCTCCACCCCCATGTTGGGAGGTCAGGAGGGTCTTTCTGCAAATTGGTTTCCCCTTTCTCCCCAGGCCCGCTCTGCTGGGACCTGGAAAGATCCTTTTCTAGTACCAAAGTCTAGGGAGCCACAGTGGCCACACCCAGCAACTAGTTCAACGGGGAGGAATCTATTCACTGAAGCAGAACTGGGGGAAGAGGGCTCTTCCCTAAAAGTGATCTTTGAACCCTTTCACACTTTTTTTTTGAGTACCTATCCAGATTTGGGAGGTAATGGTGGATTTGGAATATTTATATTCTTTTTTTTTTTTGGTTCATCAATCTCTGTCTTCTCCTTTGTGGAAGGAGAGAAGAAAGGGAAATTGCTAACTCCCTACCTCTGTGATGTTCCAGATGAAATTCTTTGGGGAAATGAAGACACAACCTTTTAAATCAATGTTTTTTTTCTCTAGATACTCCCCTTCCTTTCCTTCTGAATGTATGTTGCATCTTCTTCAGCCTCCTTCTCTTCCCACAACCCCTTAGCTGGGACCAGTTTTTCTGTTTTTGGGGGATTTTTTTTCCTCCTGAGGAAGTAGGGGTGGGATGGGGGTGACAGGAACAATTGACACCTTAGAATACATCTCTCGCTGTCCTTAGGATCAAGAGAAATGCCACTAACTTAATGCCAGAGACCAGAGCTGAGTCATGCTCCTAGACCCCTCCCCCTTGTACACCCACTTTCTGCAAACGGACCCTGAAAGAATATCCTTTTGCAAGAAATGCAGGACCTTGCCAACCAACGCATTGAGTGGATCAACGGTGGGGAGGGCCTTGAAACACTAAATGCAACCTACTGTGAAGGGGGAATCTGGAAACAGCTGAAGGCCGAGCGTTCTGAGATGCTAGAAGGGCTTTAAAGGCAAAACTTCCCATGCTGGACCAGGACTGGACTTGGAAGGCTTTCTTGGCCCGTGTCTTGCAAGCCCTGAAAGAATGGAGCCCCTGTTGGATTTTGGAACAGCGGGATCTAAAATTCTCTGTCCTGGTCTGCGGGCCACGGCCAGCTCAACCGAGGAGACCGAGGAATTTACTGAGAACAGTGGGACAGTGGGACAGTGCCGAGCAGAGTTGAGACCCCCACCTGGCGTTGCTCTTCCTGCATCTGGCCCAGTGGCCTTCCAGGCACGGCCTGCGTGGCAGCGTCTTTCCGTGTCTTTGGGGGCTGGACACACCATGTGGCCCACCAGGAAAGTGCCGTTTCTGAGATGCCCAGCCAGACCGAGAGAGTTGCTCTTCAACCGAAAGAGCCTCGGATGTTCTTCGGACTGGTGGGGGGGAACAGAGGGAGGCACAGGGGATGTTGGGTGGTCACTTTTACCCCTTCTACAGCAGCAGCAGCAGCTTGTGGAGGAAGGGAGTCATGGCTGTGTGTGTTTGTGAGTGTGTGCGTATGTGTATGTGTTGCTGCTTTTCTAAATTCCTCTTTGATGCTGGGGAGGGGCACTTGTTAGCACCCAGGACAATCTGTTCAGCCTTTCTTTTCTCCCCCTTTTTTCCTCCTCCAAATAAATTCTTGGAATGTGTTTCCTATGCCTCCCTGCCCCCCCCCCATCATGCTGGGGTTGAATTTTCCTTCCCCCCCCATATCAGTATGTTTGAATCATTGTGTCATTTGTTGAGGGTGGGGAGTGATTTAGCCGTGTGTGATCCTCCCCCTTGGCTCAGTCCCCCTCCCTCCCATTTCCCCCTCCCAGGTTCCTATCTGATTCTGGTATGCTTCAGAAAAAAAATGCTATTAATGAAATGAAATAAATGGAAATTCTTCTATGGCACCCAAAGGCTTTGGCCCCTTCGAGGTTTGTTTTGTGTGGAAAATGGCCAACAAGGGAGCGTTGGGCTGCTTCATTTAGCAATAGCACTTAAGACTCATATACTGCTTCACAGTGCTTTACAGCAGTTTACAGAGTCAGCATATGGCCCCCAACAATCAGGGTCCTCATTTTACTGACCTTGGAAGGATGGAAGGCCGAGTCAACCTTGAGCCAGTCAGGATCGAACTGCTGGCAGTCAGCAGAGTTAGCCTGCAGTATTACATTCTGACCACTGCGATTGGCCCTTCCCCTCACAAGGCTTCCCTGGATGGCAGTCGGGAGTACAGGACATCTAGAGCAGGGGTCCCCAACCTTGGCAACTTTAAGACTTGTGGACTTCAACTCCCAGAATTCCTCAGCCAGCAAAGCTGGTAGTTGAAGTCCACAAGTCTTAAAGTTGCCAAGGTTGGGGACCCCTGCTCTAGAGAACAGTCCAACTAAGCATGCTGTGTGTTTGACAAGCAGTGAATGACTCTTTCCCCTTTGTGTGCCTTACAAAACTCTGGGGTTTGGAGCAGGTGGAGGGAGCGGGGGAAGAGGCTGGTTAAGCCAAGGTTGTGTGGCTGCCTAAGTGACGAGGGAGATCATTCGTGGCTTTGGGGTGGATTTCCATCATTACGCTGATGACACTCAGCTGTACATTTCCACCCCAGGCCACCCCAACGATGCCCTTGACGTGATGGCCCGTTGCCTGGAGGCCGTACGGGTCTGGATGGGGAGGAACAGACTCAGGCTCAGCCCTTCCAAGACCGAGTGGCTGTGGTTTCCGGCACCTCGGCATAGTCAGCTGATGCCATCGCTGACTATAGGGGGCGAAACCTTGGCCCCCTCAGAGAGGGCGCGCAACTTGGGAGTCCTCCTGGATTCACGGCTGACCTTGGATGACCATCTGTCGGCCGTGACCAGGGGGGCGTTTTATGAGGTTCGCCTGATTCACCAGTTGCGGCCTTTTCTGGACCGGGACGCCTTACACACAGTCACTCATGCTCTTGTCACCTGCCGCCTGGACTACTGTAACGCCCTCTACATGGGGCTCCCTTTGAGGAGCACCCGGAGGCTTCAAATGGTCCAAAATGCGGCCGCGCGGGCGGTGTTGGGAGGGACTCGTCGCTCCCATGTGACACCGCTGCTGCGCGAGCTGCATTGGTTACCAGTGGCCTTCCGGGTGCGCTTTAAGGTATTAGTTACCACCTTTAAA